TTGTTTGTTTGCTTTTACCTTCCAAATAAAATGCTGTCAGGACATAGTTCATGAGATCCTGTTCAGTAAGGGGTATTTACAATAGCATACATGAAAAAGGCTACAAGGATTGCTTTAAAGCTGTGTTGTTTTTTTTCCCTTAACTTGCAAGATTTTGCTAACATCTGTATTAATACCCAGTCTCTGCTTCTTAGTAGATGTATGGGATGTCAGTGTGAATTTGTCTATGCAACTTTATTGTAATCAACTGGTCATGGATAAAAAATAAAACATCCTTAATTATTACAGAAAATTTCAAGACCTAGTTTACCTGAAGGAAAAACAGAAACACCAACATATGAAAGAAAATACAATAATTAGCTGCATCTTGGAGTTCAGTTACATAAAATAATACATGCTGTTATTTCTCAGGTAGTTGAATATTTTAATTAGTGTTTTCATAATGTGTTTTTCTGCGACAAAAACTTTTGAGTGGCAATCAAAATGTACTCAAAAAGACACAAAGAATTTAGGTTCTAATTGTCAAAACAGTGCTTAGCCTACAAATAAGTCAAAGTTTCTGATAAATTGTACACAGTGTTAAAAAGATTTTTTTGTATTATTGTGTATGAATTAACAGCATCGAAAGGGAAAATGGGGAAGAATTATACATTGTATAGTAGTAAATGTTAGTCCTTGGGAATTCATTTTGTTTTGTAGCTGTTACAACTACAGATCTAAGGAAAATAATAATTGCGGGTTTTTAATGTTTGTCTAGGAAAGTAGCTCAAATTGTACATGGCTTTGGGCACATAGTGTGGGCAGACTTAAATATATGTGTATGTATACATTATTACTCCAGATCCCGTGGCCTGAAGTATCTTACTCCAATTAGTAGTCTTCAACAACTTTAATGCAAATTTAACCTTTAAAAGCTCAGTCAGAACACTGTTTCAGTCATTGTAAATACATTTGTAGTACCTCTTTTTAAAAAGTAAGTTAAAAAGTAAATTAAAAAGCAGTTCTGTGCTTTCAGTTTCTCTTTATAAGTTATTTTTCTTCTTAGAAAAGGTTCTTCATTACCCTTCTTTAGTCGTATGCAGAGTACCAAATAATTAGAATTTTATTTTCACTTCTAATACTTAGGAATTGAGACTAAGTGGTTCAGGTATGAGAAGCTAACTCCATCTTTAAACTACAGGTAAATCATTATAGTTGAATGCTATGTACTGCATTTTCCTATCTTTACATTTAATTAGGTAAAATTAACATCAGTATATACACCTGCTCTTTGTTTCCTGTTGATGAGATTCTTGAGGACTCTGTTAGAAGTTTGAACTTGTTAGGTGCCTTCATGAATCGGAGCTTCTGGTTCAGTTTCCTCAAAAAGAAATTTAGTTTGCACACACCAGAACAGTTCTGTAAACCGAACCAGTGTGTGGGAACAGTTAGGAATTTGCCTCAAGACTGCTGTTGGGTCGCACCAAAGTAAATGCAGCTATAGTACTGATTTTGTTACCTGTAAGTACAGTCCACAAACTGAGGGTCTTCATGTGCATACCTTGCAGCTATTGTGTATGCAGATACGTAAATGTCACCTGAAGCTGTGTGGTTTCTTTTCTTGCTGGTTTTTTAGGGGCTTAATACAAAATAATAATGCTCTAAAGAACATTAAGTGAATGTCCATTGCAAAGGGCAACAAAGAAAACTTGAGCTAGTAGAGTTTAAAAACAAAACAAAAAACAACAAGCAGAACCACCAAAACTGAAAAAGAGACAGAGCACAGCAAGTATGCAGAGCTGATCTTCCTTCAGCCTCACTTAGTTCCCAGATCTTACATTTTCTATACGATAAGGAAAAATTCCTTTTAATTTCCAAGATTCTCTAGTTTGTGGTATTTGTATGCTTTCATTTATTAAATTCGTCTCTTGGACTCAAAATTGTCTTCTGCAAGTAGCCTTATTCAAAAGTTGGAGTTCATACAGACGGTACAGCGGCTGGTTCATTAATAGGTTCATTAATACAGCCCAGTTTTCACAGTCTGTAGCCATGGCTGGTGGCATGCTTTAGAAAATGAGTTTGTTATTTTATTAAACAATAGCCAGGTTTTATATTCTAACTTTTCGCCAAAATCCTTGATGTTTTCATTTTCCACATCTCCTTGGTCTCTTTATTTTTTTCTACAGCTCTTACACAGTACTGTCTGCATATAGACTGAAAGAGTCTTTCATTCCTAACATTACTTAGAAGTCTCTTTTTTCTTTTTTCAGCTGCTGACTTACTATCAGAACGACTTTTTGAAATTCCATATGTCACGGGTTTCTTTTTTATTGAGGGGTTGAATGTGTCACAACTACTGAGTTTTTGCTTATCAGCAGTTGTCAGCAGAGGTAAACTGTTCCATTGGAGGGTTGTTCAATGTAAAGGACCTTACTGATGTGTTCAGCAGTACTAGATCACTATTTTCTGTATATTTGTTGTGGTGGTTATTGCCTTACGTAAGCTGAGCAGTTTTGTTTTTAAACTCTGTTTTATTGGTATAAGATATTGGGGAGTTTTTTCTTCTGCGTGAGAAATGAATGTAGAAAGTTTTTCTTCCTTCCCATTCCACAGTTCTCGCACTTCACCAAAAATGATTTGATAGCAAAGAGGGCTGGATTTGGTCAAAGTTGGGGTTTGATTGTATGAAGATAAGGGGAGATTGTGATGGATTTCCATTTTATGTTAAAGTAGGTTTGTCCTTTAAGAGTTCCTTGGTGTGAATGGTGTGTGAATGTAATCCATCTGCAGTGCCCTGTGTGGAACCGTTGTTGTCAGTGCTAATGAGGAATTAGTTATTGCTTTGTTTAAACCCATTTTTGCATACCTGTGTTCAAAAGTTGTCAAGTAAAGCGTATTATTTTGCTTGTTAACTCTCAACTTCAGTTCTCAAAGCTGCTTGTTGAAGAGTAGCAGCTAAAGGTAACATAAACAGTTTCATAGAGTTTATTGGATTTTCATATGAATGCAGTTCTAAGTATTTACTAGAATTTCTAAGGCTCTGTATAGCTAAAGTATTTTTCTGGAATAGGTGAGGTAATTAGGAGCAGATGTGGTAAGGCTAATTATCATCTGTAGCTGCTGGGTAGTGAGCCTAGCTCCTGTGCTGGAACTTTGTCTCAAGTTTTTTCTGAATCATTACATTTTCTTTTTATTTCTAGTAGTTTGAGTTGGAGGAGAATAATTAATAATAATAATAATAATAATTCATAATAATTCAAATTAGAAAAAAATGTACATTGGGGAGTATTGTTTATTGTGTTAGCCTAATAAGTGAAAAAAGCATGCATACTTGTCTGTCAGTAGTAGCTAATTCAAGTTGTAATTTGGCAGATAAGTTTATCTCCTGAGTTAATAATTGATTATGAATGAAGAAATGGTGTCACAGTGTCACAGAAATTATTATTATGACTATCTCAGTAGGCAGTAAGAGTTCACCATTTAAGATTCTTTGTAGTCTCTTACCCCATTCAAAATATTCCTGTGTCGTAAACCTAGGTAGGAAGTTGAATATTCTGGAATTAGCTTCTTTGAGTGAAAGTAAAACTTAAAAACAAACTTCTGAGTGTTTGTAGCTTGTAGCACCTGGGCTAGACTTTTGCTGTGCAGTTCAGTATCACTTAGCGTGTAGGCGAATGACATTAACTTTTAGTTTGAAAATATATTGTAAAAATTTAATAGCAAGAATCTGGTTATTTCCTGTTCCTTGAACTGCCCATTGCTTAGCAAGTGGGTTTAGCCAGAAATGGTTTCAAGCATATTTAAAACTATTTGAAAAAAGCACAGATGCTTTTTTGATGCATATAATACTTGATGATGCCATCTCTCTTGCATTTCTTATCTGCATATTACCGTTCAAATACTATTGGCAACTTTTAGACTCAAACATTAAACTGGGATATGTACTTGCTCCCAATTTCATTTCCTGTATAGAACTTTCATCTGAAATTCAGCTTGTTCTTCCATGCCCTCTGCCACCTTTCACTGTTTTGGGTTTTTTTTTTTTTTTGTCTATTTAACATCACCATTTAGGGCAGTTAGAGCTACTTGTCATTCTGAAGAATCTTGAGTGGGTTTCCAACTACGTTTTTACCAAGCCTAAATCTTCACAGCAAAAAAATGAGCTTCCTCATTGAAATGATGAGAGAAGCCTGATGTTCCTATAACAAATGAAGAGAGATATCAGAAGGCAGGGTTTTGTCTGTTGGCATATGAATGTGAGCAGTTTGCATACAGCATGTGACTGTTTTTGTCAGTAAAGGTGGCATCTGAAATACATAGTTGAATCTCTTTGGAGGATTCTCATCCCTCTCGCACTTCCCTTTCCTGATCACTTTACAAAACTGCATGTGGCTTTATTGAAATAATGCAAAATTAAACAATAACTATTTTGTATAAATTTTTTGTTGTGTTTTCTGTGTTACTATATAATAAGATTCTCATTTTTCCTTGCATGTATCAACACTGTTCTTTCCTTTTATCACCATGTGGTTTTACTCTGAAAAGTAACTAAAAATGCTCGTTCACCAATTTGTTGAAATACTGCAAATTTCTAGTTGATACTAAATTTTAGATTTGAATTAATTGTGGTTTCCAGCAGCTAGCTTTTTTCTTTCTTTACACGTGTTAGCAGTGCAGATTCAGTTTATCAGTACAAAAGTATGAACTGGCTTATTTTTCTTGCACATCATCAACAGAAGTTTTGATTAGTTGTGTCTGCATTTGCGTCAAAGAGCAGCTGAGTGCTGTATTTTTTAAAATTCCACATGAGAAGAAAGAAATAACATTCATTTCTAGTGATGAAATGCAAGAATTAAAGAATACTAAAGCTGAATATATAAATGGGTAAGAAAAATGAATTTAAATTCACCCCGTCTTGCTGTGAAAACTTCTAAGCAATGCCATTTGGCTGTTACTTTGCAGAGTATAGCCACTTGTTGCTTTATTACAACTTTTAGAAAAATAACATTTTGTTTTTTCAGCAAACAGGAGCTTGATTCTTCAGAGGAAACAAAAGAATGCAATAGAAACCAAAATGAAATTGCATCAGTTGAAAAGACTGAAGAAAATTCATCATTGTCAGATACAGAAAATGTTCCCAATTTGGAACTCCATGATAACAGCACGAAGAAATCTTTGCATGAGAAAGGAACATGTTGTGATTCAGATCATAATAAACAATTGGTAGGCGAGAAACAAAAATGTATTCATGGAGAAAGTGAGTTGAAAGCTTCCCAAAGATCAGATGATGTTGTCTTGACTGATCAGACTAAAGTGCAAAACTTGGATAAAATTACACTTTCAGCGATGAATGCAAAGGACTTAAAGCTAACTTTGGGTGAAGATGTTAGTTTTGAGCAGTTCTTGAGAAAAAGAAATGAACCCGAATCAGTTAGTTCAGACATGAGTGAACAAGGCAGTATTCATTTGGAGCCTTTGACTCCGTCAGAGGTACTAGAGCACGAAGCAACTGAAATTCTTCAGAAAGGTAATGTTGCACCTTCATCAAAGCAAGCTGAACAACTCTCTGAACAAACAGACAAGACTTCTCAAGAAGGCAGTCCCAGCAGAATGGAAACAACTGTAAACAAAACAGATGAAAATGAAGCAAGCTGAAATTACATACATTTCCTTGTGTGTTATATATAATGATAGGAACACCATGGACCATTCCTGATGAGTGTGCTCATTGATGCTAATGGTTTGGGGATTTTTTGAAAGGGAAATTTGGCATACGGAGATAAAATATGTATGCACAACTGAATCAAGTAAATTTAGAAAAGGTAATGTCTTTTTAAGTTTCTCTGCTATTTCTTCTCTCGTATATATGAATAAACTGAGTTGAAAGGAGGAAAAAAAATCTATTTTTTGTATCTGGAATAGATAACTTGCTAGTCAAGAGAAGATTTTAAAAACTCTTTTAATGAAGTGGAACTTAGTATGAATTTAGTTCTAATGCTGAAATGAAGCACACTTGTAGCAATGGTTGTTGGTCTGCTGATAGCTGGGTAAACACAAGCTTTGGATTTGGTATCACATTCCTTTCTGTAAAAGCATGTAAACAATTTTATGAATCTATGCACCTCTGTACAGGTGTAATCCTGCCAGACTGTAAACTTGACTTAAACTTTCAGTGAAAGTGGAAATACTACAATAAAATATATATATTTGTGGGGTTTTCAGTATGCAGACTGTGCAGAAATACCAGACATAATTGTAAAAAGTAGGACATACTGCTAAAAGTACTGTAGCTTTTAGGCTTTTACCATTGTTTTAAATATTCTTAGTGGTAGACCCATAGGAATGGTCTGTAAGGCAAACCAAAGTATGGTTTAATGTAAAAATTGTTTTAAGCAAGAAGGAGAACCCCAAACTGGAAGTACCAGCTGGCATGCATTCTGCCATTTAACAGCTGCTACTTGCTGACTCTTAGAAAAAAGGACACGAGAGCATATACTGTGGGAATGTACAGTTCAATTTCACAAGTTTTTGTAGTCTAAGTAATATTCAAAAAGATAGCTGCTGGTTTTTTTTGTTTTGTTTTTTTTATAGTTAGCAGTTAGGTGTAGAAATGAATATGACAGTAGCTTGCTCTTACAACTTCCTTGCTCCATTGGAAACATTCAGAATGTGCTTTTGACCTGGTTTTGTTTTTAATGTGTTAAATGTTTTGAACAGCTGTTAAAGCACTGCTGTAAATTATTCCTTTTTTGAGTAAATATTTGCAACAAAATTTTGTCTTTGTGAATAATTTCACTGCTCAGCTTGAAACTTTGGGCATAATGTTCCCACCTTTTTATAAAAGATTTGGTAGCAGTTTGCAGGAACAGTTTCATTTCAAAATTTTCATTTTAAAATTGTGAATTTGATGCTTAAGTGATTTTTTTTCTTTTTTGTTTTTAAGAATTAAATGAGCAAGTGCCTATGCATAAGAATATTTTTCTAGCTATGTGTTGTGGTTAGATGTGCTGACTTTTCCAGATTACGTGGAAATATTTTTCTGGACCATCAGCATGCAATTGAAGTTTGCTTTGTCCTTCTATGTTGTCTAGACTTGGCTTCTAAATGAGTCTAATCAGCAACAGCATTAACCTGTAGAGACCATTCTGATTGTTGTTGAGGCCTCTAAATAAACCACATCTCAAAATTGCTTAAGACTCTGAAGAGTCACATGAATTAAATTTTAAATTGCTCCTTAATTTTCATCCATGCAGGTGAAATCTATGCCTTTTTAAAAGAAAAGTGGAATGACTTATGTAGTCACAGCTCTTCTGCTTTAAGAATTCAAAAAATAAAAATAAAAACAGACAAAAAAACTGAGAACAGTAAGTGGCAATATTCTTCTCTCCTTTAAAGTGATACCGAAATTGTTAATTTGAGGTGTTAATAACAAGTCTGTTGTCTTCATGCATGTAGACGTGAGGGAATATAAAATACAGCATCCTAAGAAGGATAGTTCAGAGGAGTAAACCAGCTATGGAACCTCTTGTGTATGTTACTGAAGCAGCTCATGAGTGCATATAAACAAAGAGAAACCTATGATATTTTTAATCTGACGTTGATTTTACGTGCTAATTAAATATTTTGAAAAATTCATACGTGGTGTTGACGAAGATTAACTTCAAGTGGAACCAGTTCTATGATACTTGCTTGTAACTTCCTCACATTTGACTTTTATGCAATTAAATTTTTAAAATATTTGCTATTTCAATGATATGAATTTGGACGAAAACATAGTTTGAATGCCCCATGCTTTTGAGAATATGTGGAAAATGAAACTGAGACTGGAAAAACCTGAGTATTTGACAAAAACATGTGAATTCTCAGACACTTAATATGTAGAGGGTTGTTCATTTCAGTCTGTGTAGAGAATGCATATACATTACGAGAGTAATGTTAGGTCTAAAACCATCCAGATGTTGAACATCTGAAATAGCACCCCTTCCAAATGGAGCAAGAGAGTACTAGATAGTTTTTGTAGCAAGACCATCAGGCTGTTTAAACAGACCATTAAATTATATAATGAAAGCAGTGGTATGCTGTTTTTGTGAAGAACGAAAAATGTGTTTGTTTTTCCTATCTGAAGAAATCTGTTATCTTAACGCTGCAGGAAATTGCATAATTATGAAAATTAATCCCTTTCCTGTATTCTGTTTGGTTCTTAGAGCAAAGCTGAATAGATGCTTTTGGTTTAAGTCAAAGATAATTTACACTGACTGCATTTGAGTTATTTGTATGTAACTGCACATAACTTACTTCTTTGTTTCTGTGTCGTGAAAGGTTTTTATTTTGCAGCCATCATCAGTTCTTTCTCTGTGCAATCTTTCTCTTTGAACTTAGGAGAACACTTGAGCTCAAGTTTACATTGCCTTGCAAAAAAAATTAAATTCAATTTAATTCTCGGTGTCCATATTGGAATATATGTTTCACTTCTGCAGAGATTAACAATATTTACTTGAATTATAATTTCATATTGGATATGTAATTTACTATTTTTGAAAAACATACATGCCATGTGCACATTAGCTTTGTTTCTGTTCAGTTGAAAACTACTGAAAATCAGTAGCTTATGGTCATTTGGTGCTTCCTCAAGTGCAGCAAATGCTTCAGTTTGTCTTGCACAGTTTGGGCAAAAAAATACTGCTTTTTGACTAATTTTAGAGGATTGTAGACAAATTCCTATTGTTTGGGGGGTTGGAGGTTCATGATCCTTGAGGTTACTTCCAACCCTGGCCATTCTGTGATTCAGGGGGAGAAAGCGTTGCCAGAAGAACAGGCATGGAGTACCCAACAGCAGCAGGTTGTGAAGCTATTGGATGTTCACTTTTTATGGCTGGATCTCCAGAGATGTTACAGGTTCTGTATATTTCAATCAACTGTTGTCACCAAAGTTAGAATTTTTAAGTATGGCCTTTGCATCTTTCAGTGTAAAGGCTTTAAAAGGTGTAATGCAACTGACGCTATTTGCTTGCATGAAACATGTTTATAGCAGTAAGCAAATTCTCAGTATTTGGTTTATTGCATATTACAGCATCTTACTGCAGAAGTTACAGAAGACTAATTCTAAATATGATTCTGAATTCAAATGTTATTTGCATAGGATTTCTAAAGATTAAAAACTTGTCTACAACCCTGTAAATGTTAATCTCTCACACTTTAATCTTTATTTACTTCATATATGAAATCTCTTTACTACATAAATCTGAGACAGAATGGAGGAATGTGGAACGTAGCTTAAGTAATTAGGAAAATTTCAGCCCCAAAGGAAACTTCTAGTAAAAACTGAAGCTGGTGGAAGGATAGGAAGTCGTAACCATGCCAAACCGTTACTGCATGTGTGCAAATTTTGCTTTGCACAAACATGCCCGCATTTATAGGCAACTATAGTGAAAACAACTGGGTGTCATTTTCCCTGATGTAGATGAAGAAAGAAAAAAGAAAGCTCTTTTTTTGATTGTTAAAAAGAAGGTAGGTTTCGGCAACAGTCCTTATACTCTTTAGAGCAAAACCTTTTGTACAGCATTGTAAAACTGCCACTGTACTCGATTTAGGTGTTCTGTTAATCTAAGTGTGCTCTTGGTTAGGTGAGCCAACCATTGAAGGGAAGTTGGGTTCCATCTCTACTGTCTGTGTGGGTAAGTTTGATTGAGCTCAGGTTGAGCTCATGAGGCTACTAAAGAACTCTGGAAAACATTTCTGTCTTTTTGAGAATTATGTCTCTAAAAACTCTTAGGAGGCTTGTGCATTTCTGTCAGGAGAAAGCTGACCCTTCCGAGTGTTATTGCCAGTAGACACTCTTAACAGGTAAGAGAAAATGTATTCCTTGTTGAAATTAAACCGGAACAGAATTCTGCATGAAAGCCAATGTCTCTTCCTTAAGTGTGAGATAGTACTGAGTGATTTAATTGCACATGGAAATTGGTGTTTGGCATTGGTGTCTTCAAAGCTGTTAAGCTGTGACCTCTTACTCCTGTTTGTATTCTGGCAGTAAGAAATGTATCTTCTGTCTTCTCACATCATACGTAGTTTGTATTAATGTATTTGTTATCCAGTGTTTGCGTGCTCCTTAGAAATCCCTTGTTTGAGAGGGGTTACAATCCACTTGCACTTCTGTGAGTGCTTCTTGATTGTATCTCTTACATCGTTTTGTATGTGACCATTCAATTCTGTGAAATAAAGAGATGGAGGAGAACAGTGATAAAGTACTTTAAAAGTTGTTCTACTACTTCTCGCAGGATAGTAGGCAAAAATATATCCACCCTGAACTTCAGCCTCTGTGCAGTAACAGCTGTATTCTCTTTTTCTGTAGGTGGTGCTAAGCCTGCTAGGAATTTTTACTGAACAGAATCTCCAGAGAAAATACAAAGCAGCAAATGCTTGGTCTGTCAAGATGCCTCATTGCAATAAAAGATCAATAAGAAGCTACAGTATGGAAACTTTACTGTGAGTGGAATACAGAATATGTGGGGAAAATTGATTCTGCTTTCAGTGTTTTAGCTATTGTAAGTAGAAGTCTCCCAGAAGAAACTGATCCCAGATTAGATTCTGTGAAGCTTCTGACAAAACTGTTATCAGTGGCTTCATAGCACAAAGAAAGTTGGTGTGAATGTAGTCTGATTTCTTGGGTATGATGTACACCAATTAGGTAAAGATCAGTGATCGATAAAGTCACTTATTCTGAAATCAGATAATTCCTGTCTGTCAAGCTGAATATATTTCACTGCCAAATCTTCTGGGTAGGTGAAAAGTGCTTTCTACATCTCATCCATGGCTACGTTAGACTATCTGCCTTTTATTTAATATGCTGAAAAAAATAGAGTTGAAAACTACATTTGTTGGAGGCCATATTAAGCCAATACTGACTTTTTTATTTGTACAGCACCTAGAATTTTAGAGATGCTATAAACAGCAGTTTCACTTGCATGGCATTTTCCTAATGTAGGAAATGGACTTTGACTCCTGTGCTTTTTACACAACCATATCTTTATTTCTCTGCCTTCAGTTTAAGAATGTGTATAGTTGTGTGTAATCAATTTAACAAAGCTGAGATATCAAACCAAGGAGGTTTAGAAAGAAAAAATAGTTCTAGGTTATAGAGGTAATATTCACCAATTTCATGGGAGCTCTCTTAATACCCCACCCTCCTGAATACTCTGCCAGATCAGTTCCAAGCTCAGGAATGTACTGAGCCTCACTGGGGAAAGAGTTTTTATTTTGTTGATGGCTGACAATCCAGGGAACCAACATTCAAAGGTATAGATATTTAAAAAGAAAGGCAAGGAAAAAGAGATCTTATCTCACTCACTGCAACAGTAGTTAGAATACTGATTGTACAGCGCATAATCAGACTTTCCTATACAGTGCCCAGTGGAAGCTCTAGAGGATGTTACTGAAGCTGAAAACAAGTGGATGAAAAGCAGATTAAAACATGTGAATTTCACAGCAGCATCCTTTAAAATTCCAGTGGGTTCTGTGTCAGATGCTTGTATTTTTCCATTCATATCATCAGCAAGATTTATGTTATAGGTTGTGCATGACTAGAAGAAGTAACATGTAAAAGCAGATCAAAGAAAATTACAGAAGAACTTTATTCGCACATAATTGTGCTAATAAACCTAATTCACTAGGAACATGGATGTCTAAGGAAAGATTCCCAATGCATGTACTGAGTTTGAACAAAGATGTTCAAGAGCCATTCTGCTGATTGCAGAAAGCCTCTGTCTCTGTGTGTGCTGTTAAGGTGAAGCAGGCAAGCCATTACTACGGTGTAGAGGGATGGCTACAGTAGATGCCTATGGAGCAATATCTTACTAATCTTTGCACGCTTTCATAGGCTGTTAGAATATGAGGTGGGGTAAATGAGTTTGCAAGGTTAACCAGCTGCATTTGTGAAATGGAGATACGTTTAACTGGATGCGATTTCAGATGTGAGAGCTCGTGTCCCTACAGGCAATCCAAGCGATGATTTCTCCTATTACCACAGGAACAAGAGGGTTTTCTTTTTTTAACAACACAATATATTTTTCAAAGTATACCGAAAATCTGGATTGAGCTCTCTAAGGCTCAACTAATTCAGTAATGAGCTAAGACTGTTTGGTATGCAGTAGCTGTACTGATGATTGCGTCTGTAACTGCAGCAACAATATAGAGCAAAATTGAAAATAGGAGTAATTGGACCACCTTCAGGCTTTGAAAAGCTCTTTGCAAAAGAGTAGGGACAGCAACTGTAAAATATTCTGATTTTCCTAAACTTGTATTCAAGAGTCTTGTTGTCAATGAAACATGATAGGTTTATTAAATATGCTATAGAATACTGTATGAGAAGGTTGCTCATCCCATACAATTTTTCTCCTTAATTTCAGCTGTATGTATGCTACTGCAGCTTCAGAACATCTGGGTACAGCAGTTTTTTTTCTTTTCTGCACCTGCGAGTGTAAGTACACACATAAACAAAAAAGAAATTAAATCTTTCACAGAGCCAGAGAGAGTGGAAAAAAAAAACCACAAAAAAACCACCAACCAGTAAGCCATGAAGCTCAGGGGAGCAGTATGACAAGTGCTGAGCTGTAAACAAGCTTGAGAGGGATTTAATTCTTATGACAAGCGCCAGTGGTAGCATCTCACATGGACTCAGCATATGCACACATTTCAGAGGAGGAATCACAGAGGACTTAATGCAAATGTAAAAAAGCTTAGAGCACAGCAGCCTGTGCTGCTCTAAAAATAACCTCACAAATCAGGATGAGCTAGGGTTGTAATTATCTTGATTTTTCAGAATTTTGCTTGTAAGAGAGTTTCTGGTTTACACTCATACTGTGATTAGACTTTATAACCCAGACTGCAAATGGTTTGGGGCATGGATTTTGTTATAGGACAAGTATAAGACCTAATTAGGTGGTATTTTAAGGGTGATAGTAGAATATAAAGGCTGAGTAACAGCTTCTGTACTCAGTTTTAAAGAAGCTTATTTTAGGTCGGAAGCTTTTTGTTGCTGTTGTTTGTGAAGGAAGGAGAACTGAGATGTAATTTGGTATCCAGATTAAATTTTAAAAGCATCTAACGCACACTTGCTCCCTAATTACAGTCATGTCTTTTCTCTTTCAAATATGCTTATAACTACCTTGTTACTTCAACAGCGTTCTGAAAAGTACAGGCTGCAAACCATAACCCGCAGTCTGTATGCAGGCAGATTTCCCCACGGCAGTTGATCAGTTTGTGCTGCAAGGCACAGCCAGTTTTCACATAACCTTCAGGCAGGTTTGAGATGAGTAGCATGCTCCCTGTGCTCCAGCTGCTACACAGCTTTGACTCATTTACAAAAACAGAGCTGTGCTCTATTCACCTTAGATCTTCAATCAAGCTGTTTTCACAGATTCAGGGAGTTGTAGAGGTTGGAAGGGGACCTCTGGAGATCATCTAGTCCAACCCCTTGGTAAAGCAGCTTCCTTGCAGTAAGTTTATTTTCTGCTTTCCTCAGTCTTCCATTAATTAGATTAAGTTTACTAGAAAAGGGTTAATAATCCCTGGGGGTATAGTTTTTGATTGTCTGCAGGCTGAGTTAAATTCTGCTGTGCTGGACTGTAATTAGCTAAAATGCTTTCTAATCATAATTTCCTAGATTTCCTAGCAAAAACATGCAATATTTACAAGAAGTCTCTTGGACCATGTCTTTCTTGCTCACACTGATTGACAACTGGGTATAAAATATCAATTCCCAAAGTACTATTATGTATTTTTAAAAAATTGGACTTTAAATACAGTTTTATGATACTGATATTTCTGAATACTGATGCTGATGCTTTTGAATGAGATTTTTTTCACAACTGGAAATTGGGTGTGCAAATTACCCTTCATTCCATAGAGTCAACAAAGTTGGAAAACACCTCCAAGATCATCCAGTCCAACTGTCCACTTACCACCAGTATTTCCCCCCCTAAGCCATATCCCTTTGTACAGCAATTATTTGTATAATGTAAATAAGCCTTCAGCTTAGTCGTCATCATGATGTAGTGGTCAGAGTTGATCATTTGTCTGAGCTCAAGGAAATCCAGAAGGCTCTCTCCTTTGTTATCCTAAAAGCCAGTGCATGCCGCTTTACCTGCTGAGGGTTGCATCTTGAACGACTACTTTGGAGAATTCACTTGTTGCCCCTCAGTGGGTTATTGTTTTGACAACTCCAGCTCGTAGCAGTGACTCTGCATCCCATCACTGTTAATGACATATCCAGGAAACTGTCGTCTTTGGCCTCATATTGCTTCAACAGGTCCTGACAAATTCTCGTACGGTGTTCTTTCTGTTCCTGGGAGAGCATCTGTGGGACCCGCATGGTGCAAACATTGTGATATTCCAGCATTACAACCATCCTTTCCAACACATTGAAGCTGATATTCAACTCTGTACACAATTTCCTGGTCAGAATGCAGATGAACTGATTCTAATGCTCTTCCTTTTGGGGTGTGATGACTGTTCATGACTGTCTGAACATGGTTTGTGTTTCACATTGCTGTCATCCCTGCAGAAGAACACCACCCACCACCTCTCTGTGCTCACATCCATTGCTTGGACTCCGTAAATGTTCAGTAAATGTCAGTGGGTGCGTTTTTTTCTACATAGAGGAATTCAGTTCCACCCCTTTGCTTCTTACGTGCTTCCATGGCAGACACCATTCTGTCAGAGTGCCCCTTTGCTGCCATCTGTTGCACAGTAACAAAATTTAGCAGAGTATTGGTGGGAAGGTTCAGCCTCTACTGCTGTATCACCAACATCCATGTCTGACATTGTAGGCCAAGGTGATAAAATAGGAGGCATTTCTTTCAGAGCAGCACTTTTGTAATAGAAGCTCACTTTGTTTTGAAGTTAGTGTTGTAATGATTTGCAAAACTGTAAATGAGCATCATCATTTAGGAACTTAGAATTATTTGCCTTACTTAATACAATTTCCTGACAGGAGCAATGTATGGGAGAAGAGCCAAATATTAAAACAAACAAAAACCCTTTGATTTATAGTAGTGGACAGAATTTCTGTAAATACGACAAATATCCAATTCTTTAAGAGAGTCTCCTTTTATTGTTGCTAATGAAAAAAGGCTAATTGAGCTTTGATTTTGCATGCTTTACTGAATCTTGCTGACTATTCTAGTGCTATAACCAAAAACAAAGAAAGAGCAAGCTGCCAGTTTGTATAGCTACTTCAGGTAGCTTACAATTTAAATCATGCTTGTGCTAAATTTAATAAGAGTGAGACCACTACTTGTCCTTTGGCTGCATATATTGGTCCAAATACTTAGAATGCTGAAATACTGAGCTTCTACAAAAGAGAGATTTCACTTAATAAAAGCCAGAGATTCAGTCTGCATGAAGATCACAATTACCAGAATACAAAATTATCCTAAACTCACATGCTGGGTTTAAACTGCACTACATTAATTTCAACCCTCTGTGGA